TTCAGTTGCTCCTCATAGGACTTGTGCTCCAGCCCCTCAATGTCCTTCCTGTATTGAGGGGCCCAGAACTGGATGCACAATTTGATGTGCAGCCTCACAAGTGCCGAGCGCAGAGGGACAATCCCTGCCCTGGTCCTGCTGGCCACACTATTACTGACACAGGCCAGGATGCCATTGGCTTTCTTTGCCATCTGGGCACAGCTGGCTCATGTTCAGCCACTGCCAACCAGCACCCCAGGCCCTTTTCCTCTGGGCAGCTTCCCAGATGTGCATCTGTAGGCCTGTAGTGCTGCATGGGGTTTTTATAAACCAAGGGCCTCAGTTCTTGATCCAGCCTGTCCACATGCCTCTTCAGAGCGTTCCTGCCCTCCAGCAGATTGACACTCCCTTGACATCAACTTGGTGTCATCTGCAACCTGACTGAGGGTGCACTTGATCCCCTCATCTAGATCATCAATAAAGGTGTTAAAAAGTACTGGCCCAGTACTGATTCCCTGGGGAACAACACTTCCAATCTTCCACCAACTGCATTTAACTTCATTCACCATGACTCTCTGGGCTGGCCATCCAGCCACTTTTTTATCCAGTCAAGAGTGCACCTTTCTAAGCTGCCTGCTTCTCCAGGGGCGTGCTGTGAGAGACAGTATCAAAGGCTGTACTGAAGTCCAGGTGGACAATATCCACAGCCTTTCCCCATATCCACTAGGAGGTTGCCTGCTGAAGATCTTGTTACTCAGGCAGGACCAGACTTCCATAAACTCATCCTGGCTGGGCTTGATCCCCTAGCCTATGTGATCTTCCATGAGAAAATCTGTTCCATACATTTAGCTAGATTTGACCCTGTAAAAACCAAAAAATAAGTAGATTGACATCAAAGGATTCATAATTGCAGCCAGGTTGCAGTTGGGTATGAACCCTCAGCCTCAAACCAAAAAACTGGAAAGATGAGAGCAACTGCATCAGTGCCCCTCAGTTCTCAAGCGGAATGAAATCTTTCTCATTCCACATATAGTAGCATACCTGTAGATAACCAACCAGCCAGAAGACCTAGAAATGAGTGTTGAGGAATAGTGAAGCCCAGAATCAAATCTGTTTTATTTTGAAAGAAAAAGTAGAGCATTACATAAAGGACAAATAGAAAATAAACACACATCTAGTATATTTTCCCTGTGCTCTGTTTTCCTAAAGGAATGAGAGAATTTTCTTATAAACTTGAGATGTCATATATTTACTATACTGAAATCAGATGACACCTGGTTGGTAATAATAGTAAAGTTAATGGATGTTTTCAAGTGTTTATCTGAAGTTACATTTTGTAATTCACTCAGCACTGCATGTGACTGAAAGTCATTCAGGGAAACTACAACAGAGGACATGTTGAGTGTTTATTGCTTTGAAGCTGCCCTGTTTTGGCTGTGATTGTATCTGGTGTGTGTAGTGAAAAATCCTCAACAAGTACATGGTTCAGCCCTGCTCTGGACTGGCAGTCTTTGCTGAGAGGAGCAGTGGATTCCACTGTTCCAAACCAGGTTTTGTTCCAAATGAGAACTTGAAAGTTAGAGGTTGGGGAGTGGGTTGAGAAACCAAGAGCAAGCACTTAAAGATGGTTCTCAGAGCTATTTAAGTATCTAACTTACATTTTCAGAATTAACTATCAGCTTTTAGGCCAAAGAAAGACTGAGTTATTTCAGTACTTTTAGGGTATCTAAATGGCTTTGTGGAGCTGAGCCACAGTTGTTTCCAGTTACAATCCTTTGCTTTGTTTTCTTAAAAATGGGGGTAAAATGTCTTGATTTTCTTTAAGCTTTATTTAGTTTATTTCTTTGCTTAAATGAGCTCTTAAGCTTAGGTAAGACATTCTGAGATACTAGAGAGTTTTGACTGATGCTTGCTGAGTAGGCAGCTGTAGTGATGTAAAAAGGTTGGCAAACAGCGGTTTGTTGTCACTCCTCAGCAGAAGGAAAGATGTGGCTTGGACTCCAGCAGCTGACAGTTTAGTGCAGTGTGAAGTCACAGTTATTGCAGGTAAGAAACTGAGTGGCAAACCAGAAAGGTGCAGGCACATATTTCCTTCTGCTGATGTTGCTGCAGGAGCAATAAGAGGAGATGGACAGTAGATCAGTAGTGACATAGGCTACCAGAATTAGATTTGTTAAAACAGATTCCTTTCCTGACGAAGAATTCAAAATATATCAGGTTCAGATTATGCTTAGAAAGTTGTCAAAACACGTGCATGTTATCCGTCTTCACAACATGTATGTGATGTATTGCTTGACAGTGGAGAAACTGAGGGTACAAGTACTTATGGCAGCTGAGAAGACAAGAGATAACTTGTTGAATCACTCAGATTTTGTCACTACCTGTAATCACATATTTAAGTATGACAATAAAAATATTTACATTGAAAAATTCCCAAAAAAAGACTATTTGCAATTTGGCATTGTTACTTTATCCAGCCCAGTTTGAAACATGCACTTGAAATTAAAAGGGATACCTGTTTCTCATAAAGCCAATATTTCTGAGATAGTGACTCATCTGATATTTAAAACTTCTGTTTATTGCCACATATGCTTACTCTGCTTGATCCTAAATGTGCTGAATTCAAATATTTATGTCAAAATTTCTTGGAAGAAAGCTCTGAGCAATGTCCCCTCCTGTTCTCAGGCTTTCCCTCAAATCTTCAAGATTTTTGCATGTATAGTGATGCTTATCTGTTTTCTCTTCCCTTTAACTGAAGCCTATATGCAGTGAAATAATGTGTGGATATTTTCAGACCAGTAGGAATCTGCAGGGGGATGAGGAGTAAAGGCAATGCAAGAGAAACTGTAGAGCATTTCAGCTGGCTTTCAGTGTGGCATTAGGAGCAGGTGGAGGAAAAGCAGTGGCTGATAAAGGCAGCAGCGTTTGGGTATCTAAGTCTGTGATACCAGCACACTTGTGAAATGTAAGTTAGCCCTACAGCCTTTTCTTTCTGTTTCCTAAGTTCATACTCGGGCTACATTAAAGCTTGTAGTATGTATGTAATATTCATTATTTTAAGCATACTGAAGGAAACATTGAGACTGAAAGTTTCGTCTTTTGGTGTGCACAAGTACAAACACCCTGGTTTTATCAAAAGGCAAGATTTTCCTTTGATTCCTTATCTCTAAAATATTTTGGAGGCTGATAAGTAAGTTCTGCAGAAACACACTAAGGCAGGTAAGCATCATCATACTTGCAGAATTCCTGAGAGAGTTGCAGAAATGAAGGCTGGGATTGAGCTTGAGCATTGCTCAAAAAAATCTACCCCTAACTATCTCTACATGTGACTTGGAGACTTCAAATCCTTCAGTGTATTTAAAGATAGCAGCTTTTAAAGATGAAGAGAAGGATGCTAAAGCATTAAGAGTCTGCCTTTGACCTGCTCCAGAAAAATCAATCCCATTTCGTTTCTCTACTCCAATCAATTTAGAAGGGGGGATCAGATACAGATTGTTATAAGCCCTATAACTATTAGGAGGGCCATCACAGGAAAGAGATTATGTAAAAGTGACTTTATATAATGATCACAGATAACACTATATAGTGGGCCAGTGAATGTAATTATATTTGGCAATAGCAACAGTAATGCAGCCATTATCTCTGTGATGAGTTTCCTAGAATTTTGTGAGATCCTGTGCTTTAAATTTATATCACTATTAAAGAATAAGGATGTAAAAACCTACGGAACTTCCAGTCACAGTAATTTCTCTCTAGCAGCATAGATCCCTGATCTGGACAGTGTTTCTAAACTTAAACTTCTGAGAATAAATATAGAGACTCAGATGTTTTGTGAAAACAATTTTTTTTTCTTAACTCCAGTCCCGCAGAGGCATGGAAGCAGAATCTGTGTTATTAATCTTTATACCATTATTACCTGCCTTCCTATCTAAGTGTTCAATCCACACTCAGACCTTTGATTATTTTTAGGGTATTCTCAAGTATCAGTGAAATCTAAACAACAAAACAAAACAAAACAAAAAAAAAACAAAAACAAAAAAAAATTTTCCATGTAGGCTCTAAAATGTACTAAATAATGTAAAGGATCTAAGCTGCCTTCAGGGGAAAAGTATTATTATACTTGGAATTCTAAAATTTTAGGGGGTTTTTGAGGGTTCACAGGTAGTTTTTTACTGTCCTTTCATGTCAGCATGGCTATAGGTTTTTTTCTGTACTTCCTCATTTTGAACCATTATTCTTCTGCTTAGTTCTTAATGTTGGCCTATCTTCTTTACTTGTCTTTCTTTTCAGAGGAGCTCCATAGGATTAAGCAATAGGATTCCCCAAAGCAGACTCAGGCCCAGCTGAGCTAATGCTAGGGATGGGAATTTGATTTAGTCTCACAGTTCTTATTTTTTTTAAAAGCAAAACTAAACTCCTTTCTTTAGAAAGCAGGTAAGAATAATACTGTGGAGCCTTCTTTATAACTCAAAGATTGGTACAAGAAAAAAAGGACACAAGCTCTGTTTTTCTCTTTGTCTTGGAGTTTGCCTTTAATTTGAAGCATTTGATTTCAAAGCTGATGCATTCTACAGCCACAGGAGCAGTGACTGAATGGTTGCAAGGGCTGAAATTCACATTTAGGAATAAATCTCTCTCAGGGGCTCCCAAACACACTCCCCACAGATGAGGGAGTATTTTTACCATTTTCTTGCTGGCTTGTTCCATAGCTGGCAGGCTGGGGACAGCTCAGGGTAGCAATGAGAGAGAGATGCAGGTGACTGGACTCCTGTGGGTCTCACAGGGATCTGCTTCCGTTTAAAGAACTGTAAATACTTCTAATCATTGCCCAACTGCATTAATTCTACTTTAAATAAAGGTTTGGTACAGATTTGAAAAATGAAATTATTGGGGGGCCACAGGGCACAAAGCAAACAATCTTCAAACATGAGAAACCTGTGGGATTCACTTTGCAGTAATATGATAGATGACTTGACTAGACATGCCGTTTCCTATTTTCTACTTTCATTTTTCAGACCAGATTGCACTTAACCACAAAACCATCGTGTGTCCTATGATCGATGTCATTGACCACAATCACTTTGGCTACGAGGCGCAGGCGGGGGATGCCATGAGAGGAGCTTTTGACTGGGAAATGTACTACAAACGAATCCCGATTCCTCCAGAGCTCCAGAGAGCTGATCCCAGCGACCCCTTTGAGTAAGTAGCGATAAAGGGGAGAGTGGGAACATGAAGAAGGGCAAGCTAAAAGTGTAACTGTAGCAGAATCCAAGCCCAGACATTTCCATGTAGACCACTTTCTGCTAATGAAAGGTAATAGAAGAAAACACCTGAAAACTAGGAAAAAGATCAAGGCAATGATTTGTAGAATTCACAAGCTGTGCATGGAAACACAGCCTGGCTCAGTGACTGTACATAAGAGACAGACACATACTTGTAGTTAAGTATTGGCATCAGGCAAGAAGTGATTGTGATGACAGGTATTCTGTTTATTTCACAGAGACTTTATTTAATGTTTTATTTGCTGGAGATTGATGCAATATGTGCACCAGCAGCCGAGTCCAAGTTACACCAGCAGATGCTTTGTTTATAACTGGTGATATGGCTGCTGTATATGCAGTGCTGTAACTTAAACACAGAGCTGTCAAACCTGAACACTGTCAAGATGATTTGTAAATAGTTTTAGATAAGACAGCCTCTGACCCCAGTATTGTAGAGATCAGCTCATTCACAGAAATGATCTTCCTTCTTTTCACGAAGGTACATCCTTTTTTCTTATCTATTCTTATAATTATTCTCATATAAGGATCAGCTTAGATTAATCCTTATCAAATGAGAAAGGACAGACAGACAGACAGACATGGTTCTAAGTTGAGAAAGTCTCCAGGTCTCTCACACAAGCACATCCCAGCAGGGCTGCCAGTAGGGCAGGCTCTGACACTCATTATCCCTGGCTGAACCTCCACACTGTAGGTTATGGCAGTTTGAAACCTCAGCCTTCTCCCCTTCCCAAAGCAAAACATGGAAACAATAGCAACAGAAGAACTGGGTCTCTGACCCTAATATCCAGGGAATGACCTGCAGAGAGGAGTAGGTGACTGTGACGTTTTGGGCTTATTTTCATTATTCTGCTTGTTACTTTTTTGCTTATCTCCATCCAGGCCCTTCAGTCTTCATCTTGCATTAGTGTAAGTAAATGCTGATGAAGTACTTTACATCAGGTGCCAATGTGACCACTTGTCACTGATCGGGTGGGAGATCCAGGCAAGCCCTGCTTTAGCCTCAGATTTTTGGCAGCAGTTTAAATTTAGTATGGCCCACACCTAAAATCCCTCCAGCCTGGAGGATCCTGTTCTAAGGATGGCAGACCAGGTTTATTATAAAATTAGTTATTTATTGAATAGATAGGCGACAACAGACAAAAGACCTTAAACACAGTTACTTATTACACAGCATAAAACAAAGAGAACTAGTAGATTATATAAAACAGTGCACAATATTGAGATACCTATATTAAAGCTAGCAAATAACTAGTATAGATTAGGAGTCAATGTAATTTACCACCAAAATATCAGTAGTATACAGAGTCCTTTCTCTCAGCTCCCAGGAGAGTAACCATAAAGTAGGCATCCCAGCTTTGGGGAGAAAGCTTCACACATTTCCAGGGAACATGCAGAAGATTTCTGCTTCGTGAAAGTTTGGTGTAGCTTTTAGTTTGTAAAGTGAACTGTCCGTCAGAAATTCCAGCTTATCTTTCCAGATCTCACTTCCACAGCAAGATATCTATTGACAGCTGGAAACATTACTTTCATGGCATCAAAAAAAAAGTCACTGCAAGACAAGCTGTGTTAATTGAGTTATGTGAAGGGCAAGATGCCTTGAGTTCACCAGCTAACAAGACACAGATAAGCTCTTCTGAAGGGCAAGATGCCCTGCTACACCATTCCACAACATAGATGCAGCTAGTGCAATCTCATAGCACTCCAGAGCTGCTAGATCTTCAACTGCTCTAAGTCTTCTTGGTACTCTGAGCCATTGTAGTTTCTTGGCACTTACTGAAAGTAACCTTTGTATAATTTGGTTCAGCATTCAAATTTTGTATAAGTAAAACCTCTCTATTGCCAGCGTAGCTAAGGGTTGCTTATCAGTTGTTTCACATTTGCTGTTCGTAGTATGCATCTTGTAGAATCTTGTTGCAAAGACAAGAGAGGACTAAAGAGGAATCTCTCATAGGAAACTTCCTAGAAAGATGAGGTTTTTTTGCAGTGCAGAATAGATACGGTGGCTTTGCATGAACTGCTGTTCCACTCAGCATGGCAGCAGCTGATACCCACCTTGCCCTGCCAGCGTAAGACACAGGCAGATAAATGGCTTCTGAAGGAGCAACATGCAGCCTATAAATCTCCTGTAATCTCAGTAGCTGTCAGGTGGAAAGACCTCCCTGTTCTTACACAAATCAGTGAGAGTCTTCCTTTGTTTTCCCCATAACAGGATGCACATCAGAGCGATGCTGCTGGAAAAGCAGCATTGCTCAAGGAACCATCATTTCTGTCCCCACACATGCCAGCAAGACTGAAGGTTGGCTGAGCAAGGACAATATGCTTGCTTAAAAGTACCCTCTGCCTAAAATGGCAAATGGGAATATATGCGTTTTAAATAATCAGTATGAGTTTTGCTTAGGGGAAAGATTATTTTCTAATTCAAAGTCAGTACTGCTTCTCTCCTGTGGTCTTCTCTGCTGAGACCTCAAGTTTTTAATACCTTGCTTACAACAAATACTGTAAACGTTGCAAACCATTTTACCTATCAGTAACTTAATTGACCAAGACAGCTTCTGTGAAATAAAAGATACAGAACAGTTTTCTTTTAGTTACATATGCACTAAAACTAGAAATTGCTTCAGCCAGCACCATAATTATTATGCTACTATTTTGTAAGCAGTAGGGATTTTTTTTTTATTTAGGTTAAATATTTTACTGTTGGTACTGTAATAGTTTTATTTCTTGCCAGCAGAGTCAGATCTGAGATGATCCCTAATGAACTGGAAAATTGCCAGCATTTTTAATAAAACACCAGCAAATAATGGATGCATGATCCAAAAAGTGTGCTGATGAGTTTTTCCCCTCACTTAAAATGCCAACACAGTATATGTGTGAAGCAGAAAAGGTCACATCCGCCTAAGAAATAATGTACATAAAACCAGATCAAACTACAGAAGACCTAAGAGCAGTTGTTGTATTATCTGCATGGTACATTTGCTTTCCGTCTGCACATGATCAAAGTACTGCTGCAGCAGACACCAGCAGCGTGTTTGCAGCTGACACAGCCAGCTGAAGTGTTGGCAGGTACGCTCTTGGTATGACAGGAGCACGAATCTTACTAAGCTCCAATGCCAGCTCAGCTAGTCTTCTGGAATTAATATTTTCCCACACTTTAATTTATTTTTTTTAGTAGTGTTCCACTGTGGCCAGTTTTGACCAGGTGCTCTCCCATTAGACACCATCTATCTCAACATGGTCTTCCAGTTCAAAATCCCTCTTGTGAAGAAGAGACATGCTCATCCATTTGTGGTGTGAGTGTAAATGTAGTCAGGATTTATTGTTCCTGTGCCTGCAGTGCCACTTGGGGCAGCACCTCCATCCTTTCCTGTGACAGAACTTGGAGCTTCACTGCAGCTCTCAGCTTTTTCAGATGTACACTCTCACCCATTCTCAGGCCCTCTGCAGCTGTTCACAACAAGTAGCTTTACACCAAGATTTGGCTTTGATGTTTATGACTTTAAGACGTAAAATGCTCTCAAAAGCTTCCAGTGTCAAATTCAGGTACAGATGATGTACTAGCACCAACTGGGGAGTCATATGACAAATTTGTAACTGCACTTGGATCAGGCAGCATTCATGCACAAATTTTATCAGTTTGGTTCACATATATTTTGTCATTGGCCATGCCCAATTTCCCATAGGTTTCACTGAACCGAACTACAGCCATTTAAAATATATTTTCAGTCAAAGCTCCCATGTGAATTATTGGATATTTTTCTCTGCTCACTGAAGCATATAGGAAAGTTTAACAACTATTCCATAAATGGATCTCATGTCGCTCTTAAGATTAACGATTTTTTTTAAATATCTGTGTGACTGTTTTTCAGGATATATTGAATCCTTATAGGCATGGAAGCTGGACATCTCCTCTAATAAGTTGCCTCCTCATCCAGACATTAAGTCTGTGAACTCCTTCATTTCCCTTTCTCATGTGCCACAGAAACAAGAGAGGTTTTACCTTGCATTCAACAGATCTGTCCCAGTTGCAGATCATGATAGTGATTGTAGTGATTTTTGTCTTGCAATTTGTATGCAACTACCTGAACATACTCTGAAGCTTCATGCTGTTTTCCTCTGCTGCATCTGGGGTTGTGCAAGCAACTCAAATTGGTGTTCTGATGCATGGTGGGAAATTGTCAGAAAATTGTGGAATCGTGATCATGTCATGATGATGCTCCTGTCTTGATCCCATGACCAGTGATCATTCAGCAGAACTGGAGATCACTCGGAACATTTTATTGTAGTCTGTAAGCAGGGAGGACCAGAGATGTTTGTCTGCTTTGTGGCAAGGGTCATCTTGGTTTGTCATCTTCTGCTGGTTCATTCCTCTGTCATTGCAGAGGTTTGAGAGCTTGCCCTTACAGGACACATAGGTTTGGAACACAGGAGCATGCTCCTCTGTGGCTGTTCCTTTCATGGTGCAGGCGCTCTGGTCGCCAGTGGAGATTGCCTAACCCAAGCAATCACCACTTAAACTAATGGGATAACCTTGTTACTATAATGGACTGTGATATACAGCATGTCAGTTTATATGATTTAATAGCCTGTCTGAGCTAAAAGCTCTGCACAAGTTCAGATGTGCTCAGGCCTGCAGGGGGTGACTGCTCTTTATTTCCTGGCAGCACTTACTTTGTATCAATTCATGGTATCACGTGCCTGATCTGAAAACTGGCATCAGTTTCATGCCAGCTGCAGCATACTTTTAACCAGATAAGAAAACATCAGTGCAACTCAAAATACTATTTGGAAGGGGCTGCAGAGCTCTTTGGAGCAGTTTTATGGTAGTGTAACTTTATGATGCAGGAAGGAGAGAAAGGTGCAGGAGAGACCTAACAACATTGCTATTGAATTGCAAATCAAGATGGAAAATGTAACTAA